ATTTACAAGTGTATGTAAACCATATTAAGGTTGTATATGGTGTCCCTGGGGATCCTTGTGGTTCCTTGTGGTACCTTGTGGTTCCTTGTGGAAAAAAGACGCACTCGACCGAGCGGCTGCCCCTATTAGAAGTACCTTTTGTAAAGAATACTGGTTGGAAACGAGAGAGGCAATACCATACAGCTGGATCAGATAGGCCAAATAGAATTTGCAATAGAAGTCGAAATAACGAATGAATCTCTTTTAAATTTTACAAAATATAGTGCTAATGGGGGAGATGATAGTGTAAAAGTCTGCAAATTTAAACTCTAACTAGCAACGGTAATGCTGATGCTTTAATATGTGTGTACATGTATATATTTTCTTTTAAATAAATATAAAGCAGTTGTTGGGAGAAAAAAAGAATAAATCAAGAACTCGTATAATTTAAAAAAAACATTTAACTGCATACATTTTTTTAAATTATAAGATTATGCAAGTAGTGTGCTTCTCATAGTGAGTCTGGATAAAGGAGTGTGAAAGTGGTTTTTAAAGAAGGAAAAAGTAAGTTTTTTATCCAAATTTATCCAGGGACAGTTCCTAAATCTTATTTTATCACACTTAAAGTTTTCCATTACATAAAGTTTCAACAAAAATAACATTTAAAATGAATACTTTGTTTTTCAAAATGATGATATTTTTTAAAGACAAAGGGTCATGATAACATGAACTCATGGCAGAAAGTTTGTACTGAACATTTTACCATAAATATGATACTTAGTACACCATGTGTTGTAGATGTTTCAACTGCTAATTCAAATGATCTAACAAATATTTAGAATTCTTTTCTTGATTGAGTTATATAAATAATTGAAAATTGATAAACTTTCACTTTTGTAGCAACATTTATCAACATATTTTTTTTTTGGATCCCATTAAATTAGAAGGGAAATGTCCTGATACAGATTTATATGGTAGAGTATCAAAGTTCATGCACAATCTTTGATCAAAAATTGATCATGCATTTTAGTACTGGAATTAATCTATCCTTTTAGTATGCGTCGTTAATATGTGTAAGAACTGTAATCAAAAACAAGATGTGTTTGTGAAACACTGATGCCTCCATATGGCAGCTTAAGGTTAAAGTTTCTCAAATGCAAGTCAATCTCTAAGGTCAAAAGATCAAAAATTTTATTTTCCAAAGAAAGAACTTGTGTCAATGGATATACCTGGTAAATATGAAAGCCCAAGCACCAACCATCCAAACTTTATGGTCAAAGTTAATGTTTTCTATAAGTGGGTCAAACTCCAAGGTCAAGGTCTAAGGGTACGCAGGGGAAGATCTTGTCTTAAGAAATATGCATGCAAAATATAAAAGCCCTTGCACAAACTGTTCAAAAGTTATGGCGAAGGTAAAAGTTTTTCAAAAGAAGGTCAAACTCTAAGGTCAAAAGGTCAAAATATTTACATCATTGGAAAGTGCTTGTTATGATGAAGTGAAATATGAAAGCCCTAGCACTAGCGGTTCAAAAGTTATGGCCAAGGTAAAAGATGGGTAAATTTTTGCAAAAGCGGGTCAACTCCAAGGTCAAGATCAAGGTCAAATATGTTGGTACCCAAAGGAAGGTCTTTCACAAGGAATACACATGTAAAATATGAAAGCCATTGCTCCAACCAATCAGAAGTTATGGGCAAGGTTTAAGTTTTTGCGGACAAACAGACAGACAGACAGATAGACAGCTAGATAGACGGACGGACAGGGCAAAATCTAGATACCCCCGAATCTTTGATTACGAGGGCATAAAAATAAATAAAGTTCTGATGTGTAAAAACAATAATCAAAAGCTATGTAGAGCTTTTGAATGACATAGTAATGTCATACAGCCAGTGAGTTTTCACTGACTTTTTGATAGATAAAGAGCTGATTTTTAATGTTCTATTGATCTCAGTTATCTACAGATTATGTACCAGTGTAAATATTGAATGACCTTTTCACAGGAAAATTATTGCCCTTAGACTTAAAATTCTAATTTATCACTTTTTCCCGAACATTTTTTCTGATGTTCTTGTAGATCAAAAGTTGACAAGTACTTCAAGAAAACAAATGCAACAATATGAATTTTGTATTTTTTATTTTTTTTATCTTCACTTTTTGAAACTTTCAAATATTTAAAACATTTGAAGTAACTTCAACAAAGTTAGCGGGAGAGTGGCTTTTGTGATACCCTGAGCGAACAAAGTTTTACATAGAAATATATAGGAAAAATCTTTAAAAATCTTTTTCTCAAGAACAGTTAAACAATAATTACTTATATTTACATGGACGCATTCTCAGATAGTGTAGATTCAAATATGTCCAAATCATGACCCCCGGGGCTTGGGTGAGACCACAATAAGCGAACAAAGCTTTACATAGAAATAAATAGGAAAAATCTTTAAAAAAAAATCTTCTTCTCAAGATCAGAAAAGCCATGATTGGTAATATTTATATTGAAGCATCTTCAGGTAGTGAATATTCAAGTTTGTTCAAATCATGACCCCCAGGGATAGGGAGGGGCCATAATTTGTGATCAAAGTTTTTCGTGAGAATACAAAGGATAAATCGTTAAAATCTTCTTCCCAAGAATAGCAAATCCATGATAAGTTATATTAATTCGGAAGCATTCTCAGGCAAAATTTATCCAAATGTGTTAAAATCATGTCCGCTGGAGATAGGGCGAACAATAGAAGATTAAACATATAGAAAAAAATCTTCTAAAACCATGATTAGTCAGGAAATATGAAAGCATCATCATTTGATGTAGATTCAAGTATGAATAAATCAAGCCCCCTCCCCTTTCCCGGGAAGAGGGGGTGCATTTGATCAATTATATATTTAACCTATTCAATGCTAAACTGATTTCTGCTTTTTTCTAGCCTATGTGATCAGGTGAGCGATATGGCCCATGGGCCTCTTGTTTAATTATAAACTTCATATTTTAAGTCAGTATTGGCGACAGCAATCACCTCGTCATTATTTTCTAACTTAGACCTTTCCTGTGACCTAACATCACTATTTCTTCATTTTGCAGTTACCTAAGTTCTGTATGTACAGAAATAGACAAATTACTCCTACTTTCATAATTTTTTACTCATCTATGTTCAAAGAAGGATGGTACATTTCTTCTCATGGTGCATTTTGTTTCATAGGATTTTCCAAGAGAGCAGGAACAAAGGAGTGGATGTGTTTCATTTCAACAAAACCATAAGCTGACTGATCAAGTGAAAGGTGATACCAGTTGGGAAAGTTCTGGAAACACTACAGCAAGCAAAGATAGTAGTACTCAACAATACATGTATTGTTCCTGTCCATATTCATCTGGCAAAAAGTATTTCCAAAATGCTGCAATCTTGAAAACATTTGGCAATTAGAAATTACACTTATTATACAAATTAGTATGAACATTGCTGCAAATTTGTAAGCCACAAGATGTGAAAGCATTAGAGAGTTTCACAATTTACGAATCCAAACTGTCAAGTGTCCTATCAGGAACAGTTATTGGTGTCATCCAGTGAAAGCCAGCAAGGAAAAGAGCTGGTTGGATATCAAAATGCAGAAAAAGATTTTCACAGAAAGTGAAAGTTTACTTATATGTGATATGTTCTTATTTTGTGTGTGTGTGGGGGGGGGGGATAAACATGAATTCATGATAAAAGTGTTCACTGTAACCTTAATGTACATTATGTTAGTACATATATTGTAGAATAAGGTATCATAATGCTAATTTTGACATTCATGCATTTGATTACAGAATTGAAAAGCGTTATCTATTCAAGAAAATGTAAGAATATAATCATATTTGCTCAAACTTTCCCATGATTTGGGGTTTGTTTACTGAAGACATTTACAATTAATTTACTATTAGGATTACCTAAACTTTTGAATGTAAGTATAATGGATTTTAAGGGAATCACACACCCCCTTTCAGATGGATTATTTTGATTCAAAGTCATTATCTACATGTATCAAAATGTGAGTTATATATGTTTAAATTCTAAAATAAAAATATGAATAACTATAGAAAATAACTTTTGGAAAAGGTTTTAAGTATTTCATGAGTAGTGCTAATTGTGTTCTTGAAATCTTTGATGTGAAAATTTAACAAACTTTGACTTTCAATCTTTACTAAAATGTAAATTTGCCAACAACAGTTTTTTTTTTTTCATATTTAGATAACATTAGCATCCTTAACAATAACCAATAAAATTTACTGGATTAACTCCACTTTGGTCGTTAGTGTAATTTCAAATCTACAGAAAATTGTCACTTTTTTCCCAAAAATTGGAACAGTGCAAATTCCATGACCTTTTTGCACTAAATCAAAATGGATGCCAATCACTCTTATTATGCATTTATGAAGAATTACTACAAAAAGATGTAATTCAATTATTATTAAATTTACAATTTTATTTTTCCTCTAAAAATGACTAAAAATTTAAAAATATGACCTCAAATTGCATTGCATTAAGAGCTACAGGTTATAAAAGTTATACCGGTTTGATTAGCATTATAAAGATTTGTCAGATTTCATTTTATGCATATTAGATTTGGCTTCCAAATTTTGAGAGCATTCAGAGAATCTTGCTTCTGGACTATTTTGCGTGCTTTTCTATGAGACGTGCTGTTAAGATAATTAAAATATTTCACCAAAGTCAATCAATTTTAGAGTTATTTCTACTAATATAGGAACTTTTTTCCTACGTTTTGTTCTTAATGATCCAGGAAAAATCTAGAATCTAGGAAAAAAAAAAGAATTTTCAACCATTGAATTTTTATCACATGCTCCACCAGATAAACAAACAAAAATGTCTTTAACTTAAAGATGCGGTAAGATTGGCGCAATGGTTTTGAATAAGTCATTTGAAAAGTTTATCCATTTAAAATCGAAAAACAAAAGACAACACACCTGACAGATAGTTAGGCGATGGACATTTTGATAAGAGAAGAGTACGTAAATCTCTGGGGAAGGTAAGCTAAGTACCTACCCTTCTTCTTGTTCATGACAGGATGGCTCAGCCAGAAAACACGTATTTCCAATAGATAGGCAGCTTGGATCTTCAAATAAAAACCATATATATGCGGGAAAAAACAGTTTATTTTCTCAATACAAACGACAGGAAAATAAAATCACTTAGCAATTATGCATTTGATGAATAAGTCAATTGACTTGAAATATCAAGTTTTAAGCTAAAATATACAATGCTTAATTTAAATGTTCAAGTACTCATTGAATTTCGTTTTGTATTCGATGCTTTGACATTCCTGTTCTAAATCTGTATCAGGGGAACGCTATTTTTTCTGCTTACACAATACACAGCTGTTAAAAAGATAGGTCTTGATTTTTTTAAAAAATCAAAATCTAATGTAAAATTTAAATCTAATCTAGATCCCAAGACATTTTTATGTCAAGTATTCACATTATGTGCATGTAATTTTCTATCCCTTGATTTGAATTATTGATGACTTTTGACTGAAGGCCTCTACAAGTGAGTGCTTTTTTATATAAATGTCGAAAATACGATTTTCAAAGGAAATCAACCGATTATAAGAAAAGGTGGCATGGTAGTCAATATTTACTGAACCACTAGTCTTCTATTCAACATTCATTGTAATAAATCCTTATTTGAGAAATACATATTTTTACTGCCCGTACATTTGAAGATTTCATTGCTCCAGTACAATTTATCTGGACATCCATTTATAAATTGTGAACAGCTGTGGGCTTCCACAAGAGAGGTGGACCTCCTCAGAATCAAACAGATGCCTAAAAAAATACTTGTGTTAGTATTCATTCATGCATTGATATATTATCATTATAAAAATATGCTTTCAAAAAATGTCTTGAGACGACTATGTCGAACAAAAAAAGATTGGCAAGTGTTTTTAATGAATAAAATTTATTTTATTTACGTAACTGTAAATCACATTCAACAATATAATGCCAATAATATTTTGTAGTGTTAACATGCACAAATGCTCTTCAAATTAGGCTAAATGAATTGCCAATGGACAAATTATGCCTTTATTACTTTTATCTATAGGTATTCTTCGAAATCTGTAACAAAACTCCAACAGTTCTGTAATGTTCTCGTTAGGTATACACATGTATCCATTACTCTTTGTACAGTTTAGGGTAGATGACCTATTTCTCCATTCCGATTGGCTCCTGGGACATGACGTTGTGGTATACACTGGGAATATATAACCTTCCAGCTTACCCTTTGAATGAGAAATTGAGTTGAGTATATCAAATTTGAATATATCATATTTAAACCAGTCCTTAGTATAACATTATCATATCTAAGGAAATATATCACACACATTTTTGTCATATTTGTGCATGTTTCCATTGCTTCACACATACTAACATGTTCTTTAATTTTTTTTCAATTAAGCATAAGTTTAAAATTTTGTTTCAGCTAGCTAGAAGAACAATTGGTTTATAATGACTTAAGATGAAAGCCTTTCAGTATAGTATAGATTCATGGTCGGACTTTAGCAAGGGCATTAACGGTCACCTGAGTATAATACAACTGTAAAGAAACCACAGAGGTATAAAATAAAACAAAAATTAACTGATATATGAGGATATGGTATCCAAAACAAGAGAAAAGGGATAATCAGGGATCAACAAAATAGTTAGTCTAATTCTCATTTAAAGTAGATCTATTTACTAGCTTCATGTATGCTTATATACTCCCATTTGTCACTATCACCATGCCTTTAAAATTCTTGTTTATTTTTTTTATTCAATTGACCTATCAGTTACAGTGTATATTATTTACAGTAATGAATTATCATATGTGAATAGCAAAGGGGAATAACTTCTCTCGGTAGAGTACATTTCCTTACAAGTTCAAGTTCATTTATTCACTCAAAACCATTTAAATATATCGTACATGAGGACATTGAAAAATATTAACAACATATAAATTCAGGTCAGAGGTACAAGTATATGATATACTTATTCAGAAAATGAAAGTGAAAGTGGACGAAAAAGGGAGAAAAAAAGATAAATACACATAATACATATTGTAATAGTATAAATGAGGACAAAATGGAGGACAGACTAAATAATATATTTTATATAGCAATAGAACACGACATAGTGGTCCAGAATTTCACAAATCTGGTAAAACATACCCTTGCTCATTACAACTTTTTACTCTGTTTGCTTCATATAGATGCCCAGGAGCAGAGATTTTCAAAGCACTAATGCATTTTCACTATCTAATCAATAGAATCCTGCCTTGACACCAGACCTGACCTAGGGGCTATGGATTTTACAATTTTGGAAAAGGCGTCCTTGATTATTATAACCATGCTCTTAGTTTTTCTGCTAATTATACAGAGGAGAGAAGAAGTTTTTAAAAGATTTTATGCATTTTCACTATATGATCTATAAAACCGCAGACTTACTCCAGAACCCCTGATCCTGGGGTCACGAATTTCACAATTTTTGTGAAGGACTTATTTTTATTATAATCATGCCAAAAGTTTGACAGCATAATGCCCAGGAGTAGAGAAGATTTTTAAAAATTGCATTGTTTTTATGGTTTGACCCCATCACTCAGGTCCAAGGTAACAGGGACAATGCAATCACAATTTCTGTTCCCTTTTGCCAATAGATGTTCTATACCAAATGGGTTGAAATGAGTTTAGCGGTTTATGAGATGAAGCTGAAAATGTTCAAAAGTATACGAACGACACATGATGATGAACAAAAACAGATAATAATAGATCAACGAGTGACTTTGGTGACCTAGAAATCTTCTCGTGAACAGCATGACCACCTGAAGTTATATTACATGTAGTATTTTTTAATCTTCGTGAAGTGTAAAATCAGGTTTGGTTTGATCAAACTTTGGCCCATCGTGTTAAAGTTGGGCAACATTCGGGTCTTTTATTTGACATTTTATACAGAGAGTAAATCTTTTAAATATTCGTTTCAAGAACAACTGTGACACAATAAGTTATCTATATTCCTTTTGGATTCTAGCTTGTTTAAACCATAATCCAAGAAGGGCAGCATAAAAGCATGAAAATATTCTGTTAAAAAGCTTCTCTGCAAGAATAGCAGGCATGCAATGAGTCATATTGATATGCAAACATTTTCTTTTAGTGAACATTCATTTTAACACGGAAGAACAGCTATCTTTATATCTAAGCATCCTCTTGAATGAAATATGAAGATAAAGATCAGTAATTATGCTCAAAGTCAAATCAAACAAAACAAAATTGTAAGCAGAGCAAACACGGACCTCTAAAAACATAGTTAGGATCAGATACATTGGAAGGGTAAGCATCCTCTGTCGACCGGTCACACCCGCCGTGTGCTCTTTTTAATGATCGGGAAAACGGGAAAATCCGTAGACAATTCAGTGAAAATAATGCTTATCAATTCGTATGAAAGACGTTAGTCAACATTAGACTTATCGACAGATTGTATTTGCAAACAAGGTCATTGTATCGCCCATAGATTTTTCGAAGTGTTGACTTAAAACTGACGAGAGATTTTTTATATCCTTGTATGATCAACTTATTTGTCAATAGCCTGGAAGTACGTAGAGCGTGCTCTTGCTATTGAGCCTTTGTAGCTAATTAATTTGAAATTGACCGCTGTATAGGATAATGCCAAAATAGACGCTAGGAGTTTTATAAAGTTGTATGTATTCAGAATCATCTTTCTTTAAAAGAACACATGGGCACAATTATTCATATTAACTTACACGCGTTTCTATTTCGTGTGGAATCATCGGCTTTGATGAAATACCAGGGGATGCATTGTATCACAAAATGGGGTTAAAATTCAATTTTACGTGGGAATATATACAGGAAAAAAAAATATTAAAAGCTTCTGGAATACAGTTTTAGAAATATATTGATATTCACAAAACAATATGGCCGTAATTTGATAAATAAACATTATTTCCTCTTATACATGTGCTAGAAATTTAAAGCCATGTTTTGACAACAAATTTAAATAAGTTTTATTTATTGTATATATTATTTCTTAGGAAGAGTACAATTCTAATGACACTGAGAAGCTTGTGGCCCATGGTCAACATGTTGAAAACTGTATAAAATGAAAAGAACTGCATATCAACCGAGTAATATTTTCAACAAAAAAAAGGGTTAATAAACGCTCAACAAATACTTAAAATTGTAGTTCGTTTCCTCTTAGTTTATTCTTTTAAAAAATACATATTCATTCATAACATTGTTTCATTTAAATTGGGTTTATTGAGGAAATGAAACTGTAAGCTCAATAATCGATTTATTTCATCGGAATCATGGGTAAAAATGAAAAGTTTCTCAGATAGAGCAGAACCACAGGCACCTGACGAATGGATGGTGTAGCACCCCACCCCTCCACCCCCTCCAGCTTCTGAAAATTCTAATTAGACACAATGTCATCTAAATTGATACCGTATATATGATCTACACACAAAAACTAATCCAAAATACACGAATTCCTAGTCTATCACTTCTGATATCATTTTCCGCTTTTGTTAAGTTTAAGAAATGAAATTTATGCAAATGTTTTTAGGGAGATGTCGTTTTACAAGCCTCTTACAGTCACACCAGGTCAAAATGATTATTTGTCCTTAATTCGCGTTTATTTACCCAATTTCCGTTCACTGGCATCCTAGGAGGTGATCATCAAGTACTAATTTGTTTAGCGTAATGAAAAATCCAGAGATAATCGAAACTCCTTAGATGTTTTCCACAACCTACAATAAAAACCTCCTCTTTCGATGCCATGAATAGATCTTGGGTAAAAATTCTAATAAAAATTGTCTGAAGCTGGGGAGGGGGGTTACACCATCCATTCGTCAGGTGCCAGCTGTGAGCAGGACCATGAAGTGAAAAACCTTTTGTTGTGTAAATTACAGGTTCAACAAACGAATCATTTTCATATGTTTTGAAATAAGTGAATTTAAATTTGCCTAAAACATGCATTACATGAGTTAAAAAAAGTTTAATATATATTTCAAGAGAATTCGTGCAAAGTGCTATTAAACGTTTTATTAATTGCTGTGACAGTTGGAATAGCACTTAATTGCATATTAATCAATGAAAGAATCATGTGATTTATAATAGTATTTTATGCTTAAGGGTCCTCCACACATTCCAGCTTGTGTTCCCATACTACTGAGCATTACTTTTAACAAGCATACCAACATTTAAAAACTGTGAAAACCAGAAGTAAAAGATTTTTTTTCTCGATACGCGTCACGAGTCAAGGGGTGTGGAGGGCCTTTGAAGAACTCATTAATCTTTTTTTATTATGAATGAATAATATTTATCAGTAAATTTACAGGTTGATTGGATATTTACACATATATATACAATGCATACATGTTATTCACGATACTGAGTAAGTAATATTATATACCAAATTGAACCTGTTCATCTCGGCGTTTTACAAATTTTATGTATACTTAATAATCCTGTTACAATAGCATTTCACACCAATATCCCATCTAGACAGTATGATTTTAACTAAGCACATTATAGACATTCTAGTTAATTATTTTCAAAAAAAAGTATCAATAATATAAACTTACACATCTTACTACCCAGCATATCAGTGCTGTCAGCAAAATCCAAAAATAAATATTTATCGTGCTACGTTTCATGGACATGATGGGTTGTTGTCTTTTCTACCTGTCATAAACACATTTGTGTTCATTCTTTGCCATTAGAAAGCTTCAAAAAAGTCAAAAATGTCCAAAAAAAATCAGGCTAACCTTGTACAACAGAAAACTAATATGGCGGATTAACCACCAAATGCCTCAGTACACAAGTCCTTGAATCGCTTCACCGGTTATTGTGCTCATTTAAAGAAATTCAGATAACAACCCATATTCAGGAGACATAAACAGACCTTGTTTGGAACAGAGTAGAAGTAAAAAAATCAGTAATGTGCATTAATTAAGGTTTCAAGTTTAGAATATTTCTCATACATGTTTAGAAATTTTACGTTTAGGAATTAAACAAATAAAAAAGGAGTTGACAACAAAGTGTATCTATAGAAAAGTGTTTGGATTCTAAACTCATTTTTTTTACAGTGTATGCACAGAAAATTATATTCAAGGAGGAAGTAATTTTCTTTGTTTACAATGGCCTATCCGAGGAAGTGACAATGGCACTTGTTTACCCGCACATTGCACGCCCTGCTGATATTAGCTGTTTATAAAAATACTACTTCTGTGTACATTTAAAAAATAATAAAACGAAGCGACACACTATGCCTAAGATATTCTTTAGTAAAGTTTTATTTTCCGTGACACTGTCAATACAAGTTTTAGAATATGACGAATAATTTAAAATGTTATGTTATATTAATCACCGTCATTCAGTAAATTTAAAAATTCACAATAAGGCAGAGACATCGATTCTCAATACCGTTATAAAAGGGCATTGAATCGAAACGCCCATAATACCATTCACAGGTACCCGAGAGCAACGAAAGTTTCTATTCCTCATATTTCGTGTAATTGACGATTCAATACCAGAGATATCATAACATATACATGTAAATGAATACATTGGCAGAAAATTAAACCATTGTTCTTAAATATTTTTAGGTTAACCTTATTTCTATTTCGACTGTAAGGGATGTTAATTATGTCTGAGGACTGTCCATCTACATGTACATTTAATGTGAAACCACAACTAAGGATCAAAGCTTTTTATAAGGAAAAAAACATTATTTGACAACATGTGTTTGTGAAACACTGATGCCCCCGTATGGCAACTTATAGCAAAGGTTAAACTTTCTCAAATGCAAATCAAATATGTTGATACCCAAAGTAAAGTCTTGTCTCGAGAAATAAACCTGTGAAATATGAAAGGCCTAGCAGCAACCATTGAATAGATATGGAAAAGGTTAAAAAATTTTCAAAAGTATGTCAAACATCAAAGTCAAGGTCAAAATTAATGGTGCCAAAGGAAAGGCCTTCTCCCAAGAAAAACACAGGTGAAATATGAAAGCCAAAGCACCAAACGTTCAAAAGTTATGGCCAGGGTTAAAGTTTTCCAAAAGTAGGTCAAACTCCAAGGTCAAAGGGTCAAAGCTGTTGGTATCCCAAGAAAGGTCTTGTCACAAGGATTACATATGTGAAATACAAAAGCCCTACGGGCTAGCACCAACTGTTCAAAAGTTATCGCAAAGGTTAATATTTTCCAAAAGTAGGTCAAACTCCAAGGTCAAAGGTCAAAGTTGTTGGTATCCAAAGAAAGGTCTTATCACAAGGATTACACGTGAAATATGAAAACCCTAGCACCAACCGTTCAAAAGTTATGGCCAAGGTTAAAATTTTCCAAAAGTAGGTCAAACTCCAAGGTCTAGGTCACAGGGTCAAAGTTGTTGGTATCCAAAGAAAGGTCTTATCACAAGGATTACACATGTGAAGTATGAAAGCCCTAGCACCAACCGTTCAAAAGTTATGGCCAAGGTTAAAGTTTGGTAAAAATTTTGCAAAACTGGGTCAAACTCCAAGGTCAAGGTGACACCCAAGGAAAGGTCTTGTCATAATGAACACTCATGTCAAATATTAAAGCCTTACCCTTGACAGCGCAATAGTTATGGGCTAGGTTAAAGACAAACAGACAGACAAGACAAAAACAATATACCCCCGGGATCTTTCGTTCCGGGAGCATAAAAAAAAAATAGGCCCCAGGATCATGATACATCTTTAGCTTTATAACATTGCTTTTGTCAGAAATAAAGAGTTTAATAGGGTCCCGCATGAAATGTGGGGGCCGTTTAGGAATTACATTATCCCTCTGTCATGCAGTCCTTCTCTTTCCGTCTGTCTGTCCATCAATACTTTTTTTTATTGCACTTTTGTTTTGACGCGATTACTCAGTTTTCAACGAAATATGTTTTTAAGTATTTTTTCACAGAAGCACTTTGTTTTTAAAGGATAACACCTAAAGTTCTTGGGATCCTCCCGTCTTTTAGTCTGTCCATCTGTCCCTCAACATTTCTGTTTTGATGCGATATATCAAGCAGTTTTCAATGAAAAGTTTTCAGTTCTGTACATATTCGTACTTTTCTTTTAGAGGATTACAACTAAAAATTTTGATATCCGTATACCTCTATACTTTTGATGAGAGGCTTAAGCTCAAACAGTTTTCAATGTTTCAAGATTTTTTAAAATTTTGTACATAAGTATTTAAAATCATAAGAGCAGGACACCTGTGGCGTTTAGAGTCATATCACTTTGTCCGTATGCATGTTCGAATGAATATCCATGACACTTATTATATCATTGCTTTTGTCAGCAAGTAAAGAGATTAATTAAGCTTATATTAACTGTTTAATCTCAGATCTTTTATTCTTAGACTATACTTCGTAACAAACTGTAAGCCAACTTCTATTCACGTGCGAGAAATATTCGTGAGTTTCGCGACCTACATATATTCGCGAATATTAATCATCGCGAACCATTTATTTTGCTTTGTAGAGAATGTTTCCTGAGTCGAGGAAATTAATCGTCGCGGATTGATTTTAAACTGACAAACTGCGAATAAAAGATGACGCGAATAATAGTTGGTTTACAGTACTTGGTTAAGTGTGTATTTAGTTCTCTTCACACATAGCTTTTAAACATAACTGACAATTTAAGACAGCACTTTTGTTTTCTTCTTATCATTAAGAGCCATGTGCAAACTATTTTTCTTCTTAAATGGACATTTAATTCTTTGCCTCTTCTGACATCTTATTTTTAAATTCAAA